TAAGTTGCAGAAGACCTGAGGTTTTTGTACCGTTGTACAAAACCATAGTGCGTCCACATTTAGAATATTGCGTACAGGCATGGGCGCCTTATTTTAAACAGGACGAACGCTGTTTTGAGAAAGTACAGGGCTTAGCAACTAGAATGGTAACAGGCCAGAAAGATAAGGGATACCTCCAACGACTGCGGGACCTGGACCTGTTCTCCCTGGCCCGCAGACGCATGCGAGGCGACCTTATAGAGACATTTAAGATTGTCAAAGGGCTTTCGGGTCTAAGGTTCCAAAACGTATTCTCTTTTTTTCCTGCCAGGGGCACGAGGGGCCATCAACTCAGATTGGAAAGAAGTCATTGTAGACTAAATTTGCGAGCTAGGTTCTTCACAAACAGAGTTATACCTCTGTGGAATAAACTACCTGAAGCAGTGGTTAACTGTAATAATGTCGAATCTTTCAAGAGAAGGCTAGATGAATGCTGGGCAGTGGTGTTTCCCGAAGTTGAGTGTTGAAAGTTAATCGTTAGGCTTTACTTTACGAAATACTATAAGGGATCTGATACTGCACACTACCATTCTGCCTTTCAGAAACTACTATTCACTCGAAGTGTTGGAAGCCAACGAAACTACCGACAACACAAGGAACTGGACGCGCGATTGGCAAGAGCGGTGGTGGCCCGGTGGTCACGTCACCAATTATCACCCCGGAGGACGAGAGTTCGAATCCCACCACCACCGCCTGACTTTCCCCATTTGTGTGTTGTATGGCAGCCCTTTGATTGGCCGCTTCCCATTTCCTGAAAATTGTATCTTTGTATATTCAATAAAAAAAGTAAAATCAAAAAAAAGAATTCGTCCTTGATACTTCGTGAGAGATACTCTGTCAATCAATGCCTGAAGTGGATTTACTAAACTTCAAGGACATCACAGAAAATGGCCTACATACTAAACATCTAAACTGTATTTTTTCGCTCGTAGGTAACCAATAGTCAAGACCACAAAAATGGGGTTCACAACGGTTCTTGCCACCACACGCTTCAGTTTTCCAATGGCGCCCACCGTTACAAAACCGTTCTAGGCAGCCAGAACGCACAACCAAATCATGCAATCATTCTTCCAGCAGGGGTGAAAGAGTAAAGAAAATCATCGTGTTTGGTATTTAGAGTATGGAGGGGGTCTCCATCCTCACTTTCACAGAATCGCATCCGCAGATTACTTGGCGCAGGACCCACAGGTTGCCCCAGGATTGCATGGCGCGGCCGCTCCGATCAGGATTTTGGTGTGTAGATGAATGCAATTTGTGAGGGGTGACCGGGTGCATGAGTGCTGTTTGCAGTTAGGGAGGCAGTACCCCTGTGACCTTGCCCGACTCCGGTCTTCGACTGCTAGTGATTAACTGAGAGAGTGATTCTCCCGCCGAATCATATGTGCGTTTCATTTCCTTTCGTTTTCTTTCTTTCACTTTCCTTTCTTTTTCCGTCTTTTTCTCATTCTCATTTCCTCAATCGGTTGACAAGTTAACTCGCTTTTTTGACGGCTGCTGCGGTTGGGACCTGGTGGGTACTCTTCTTTGTTCTTAATATTATGATTATCATTTCCGTGTTCAACACCATGGGGTGTTGGGAGCTGACCCGAGTTTATCTTGTCACCAATCATTCACTTTCGAGTGCTCCTCGCATTATTGTCTAGCCGGTGGGTTTTCATCTTTTTATCGTTATAGATATATATTTTTGTGGGTCATGAGAAATAAAAATCCCGCTGCCTTGATTGGATGGGGGTTGTGTCTAGTGGTGGACGGGTGTTTTATCACCTGGGTGAGTTACCTTCGTGATACATACCGAGTGATCGGCCGTCTGGTCTTCGACCTTGTTTATAGAATACAGCTCTGGCATCAGCGAGGACAGAGTAAAGATAAAAATTCCGGGGGTCACACATTCACATCACCTCAACTGCAAACACACAATGTACGACAATCAGAGGCCGGTGCTCAGATACCCCAGCTTGGGGACGCTCCGATCGCCGGTAACGGTATGTCGAACGGGGCGCCAGGGTACTGTTCGGCTGTATTGGTTAAGTAGCTTTTTGAACGATTGTTTACTTTTAGCTTGGACTACTGTCGTTGGCAGTGAGTTCAAAAGGCGACACACACGTATCGATAAACAGTGTTCCCGGGCTCTCAGTCTGGGATGCTGCCTCTCCAGTTTCGGGGAGTGACCGTGTAGTGCTGACCGAGGAGCCATCGTGAACAGATCCCTGTTAAGGTGCCCCTGAACGTTGAGTGTGTCCCTCAAGATGATCAGGTAGCCCCTTACTCTCTTATCCTCCATGCTGTACAAGTTGGGTGAACGGGATCTATCCGGGTTATTTTCAGTTTACGATTGATCGGCAGTGTTAGGGAGTAGATGCAGCTGGTATTATTTGATAATGAATATCAGTCGAAAGGAAGAAGTCAGACTAATCCAGAGAACGAATCTGATTTGGTAGGTATTTCTAGTTAATTTGGTGGCGTGGGACAACTGTTGGCGGAGGAAGTGTCCTTGCTAATTATAATTTAAACATGCAATGAACCATTTTGTGGTCACTGCCTGGAAAAAGTTCACGTACTAAGACGATTTGTAAAGATTAGGTCCAGGACGCGGCTACCCCTATTTGGGGATTCTACTTGCTGTGTCCAATCACCAGAGTTAATACAAGATATGAGGAGGAGGTTATCGGGAGCAGAAAAGGGTGACCAACAAATGTTTGGAGCGTTAAAATCTCCTACTGAGTTTCGGTCCAGGCGCAAGATACGTTAGGTAAGTGAACGTTTCAGATATATATGAGAAGTCGATAGAAGAAGAAGGTGGACGATAAATACGTTCAGGGAGCAAGGTCTGATTATGGTGTGTGATCTTTAATCATAAAGATTCCTGTACTTTATCAAGGATGGGGTTGTTTAGGGCTGTCGCTTGTAGTGGGTCTGTGAGATATACAAGACACCCTCCCCCACGGCGATTATGCCGGTTTTTTCTAAAGAGTTGATAACCAATTAGGGTGATGAGGTCTGCGGGGGACTGAAGCTAACCGGAGTTGACGGCCTGCCGGTAAGTCTTCTTACCAGTCTCAAAATGCGCGCGACCTCCTAGTGTCTCGTTGCCCGAGGTAGACAAAAACACTCGTGGGAGTCGTAAACGTTTAGTGGCGAATCGTGGTACTAGATAGTACCGAAACGTGCCAAGGTGAGGCTAAACAATGCAAGCAATAAATGCAGTAGAAAAGAGAAAGCGTGTCACACGTGTAGCGTGGGTTTGAACAGGACCCAGCTTATATATACACCTGAGCGGAAAACCGTGCTCCGTAAAACAAACAGAAGTAAAACAAAGAAATATCACAGTTGGAGTCAGAGTTGATTGTGAAGAAAATATGAACGAAAAACGTCCTCGTGGATTGCTCCTTTTCTTCGTACAATCATGGTCACTACAGGAGCCCCCCGTTAGAAAGGAATCAAAAGCTTTCGATTCAGGAAAAAGTTTGAAGAGCAG